GCCCCATAGTTGTATAAAAAACCGAGATATGTTCTTGAATGTGACACCTATTGCGTTGTAAGATATGTAGATAATTTTTAGGGTTGGGGTTTAAGGAAAAGAACTAACCTGGTGACGGGTAATTTTATTGGTGGTGTTATCCCAAGTGAGACGACAATTACGATGGTTGAGATTTCGACGCTGGAGCAGGTAGTCTGCGCTATAGAGGAAGACGATAGAGGAGGTGGTTGGCGAGGCTGAAGTGGATCGAGAGGGAAAGAACGAAGTGAAGTCCCAAAACGGAGAATACAAGATTGTGGAACCAAACCATGGAAGAAATTGTGGGCGTTTCCAATGTATATATTTTTTTTGAACAAATCGTTTAGTGGGAGAAATCAAAGAGAGGGAAAAATTTTCAGCATATGGTGTAAGGAGGGAAAATTTAGGAATTGGGATTGACTTGATTAGTTTTCATATGGTAGGAGGGAAATGTTTGCAACTATTGAATTTTTGGCTATAATTTATAATATTCATAATTATTAGATAAATATGCATATAATACTTATATGTTCTACATTTTATAACTAATAATGATATTTTAAGTAGTTTGTTAGTATTAAAATAAATACCATGATCTAATTATTTTTTACCATACCCATTAACCCACCGACACGTATACCTACCCACACCATATACCCATCCATCCCTATCTTTACCCACCCACCCCTACCCTTACCTTCATAGCCTTCCCCCAACCATATCACCTACAATATACCCACATACCTATGACATGTGGCTTAGGTCTAATGCACTAGGGTTTAAGGCTAAGGGCTAATGACTTATGGCTTAGGTTGTATAGAGTTATGGGTTTAGAGCTTAGGGAATGAGGCTTATATCTAAAATATTATGAAATATAGCTTAGGGAATAAGGCTAAGAGTTTAGGACTTTAGGCTTTTCAATTAAGGCATAAAAATCAAGGCTTCTGGTTTATGGTTTATGGGTTAAGGCTTAGGGCTTATGGCTTATTACTTAAGGCTTATGGATTTTGGATTAGGGCATATGGCTTATAACTTATGACTTGTGACTTATGACATATGAATTAGGGCTTAGGGCTTCTGGCTTATTACTTAAGGCTTATGGGTTAAAGCTTATGGATTATAGCTTATTTCTTATGGCTTATGACTTAATGTATATGGCTTATCACTTATGAGTTGTGACTTATAGATTATGGTTTATGGCTTATGGCTTGTGGCTTATGGATTAGGTTTTATGGCTTATGATTTATGGTTTATGACTTATAGCTTAAGGTATTTGGCTTTATGGCTTATGGGCTTATGGATTATGGCTTATGGCTTATAGCTTATGGCTTGTGGTTTATGGTTTATGGTTTATGGATTATAGCTTAAGGTATTTGGCTTTAATTAGTATTTTTGTGGCTTATGGTTTATGGCTTAAGCTAAAATCCGTAAGTCTTAACAATTAAGGCTATGTGTTAGGTGTGTGGTTGTAGTATAGGTGGGTGTGCATTGGTGGGTATTGATAGATGGAGTATGAATTATTACCTAAGGCTTATGGATTTTGGATTAGGGCATATGGCTTATAACTTATGACTTGTGACTTATGACTTATGAATTAGGGCTTATGGCCTATGGTATATGGATTGGGGATTGTGGCTTAGGGAGTAGGGCATATGACTTATAACTTATGGCTTATTACTTATGGTCTGCGGTTAAAACTTTAGGCTTATTCTCTATGGCTTAGGTCTTTATGACTTATTACTTATGGTTGATTAAGGCTTATGAAATAGGGCTTATGGCATAAAGATTATGGATTATGGCTTATAGCTTAGCTATAGGGATTATGGCTTAAAGCTTATGGATTATAGCTTATTTCTTATGGCTTATGACTTAATGTATATGGCTTATCGCTTATGAGTTGTGACCTTATAGTAGTTTATGGTTTATGACTTATGGCTTGTGGCTTATGGCTTAGGTTTTATGGCTTATGATTTATGGTTTATAACTTATAGCTTAAGGTATTTGGCTTTATGGCTTATGGGCTTATGGATTATGGCTTATGGCTTATGGCTTATAGCTTATGGCTTGTGGTTTATGGTTTATGGATTATAGCTTAAGGTATTTGGCTTTAATTAGTATTTTTGTGGCTTATGGTTTATGGCTTAAGCTAAAATCCATAAGTCTTAACAATTAAGGCTATGTGTTAGGTGTGTGGTTGTAGTGTAGGTGGGTGTGCATTGGTGGGTATTGATAGATGGAGTATGAATTATTTCTTAAGGCTTATGGTATATAACTTAGGGTTTATAACTTGAAGCTTAGGTATTATGGTTAGGGCTTGGGGCATGTGTCGTTTGACTTATGGATTATAGGTTATGGATTAGGGATTATGACTTATGACTTATGTTTTTTAGCTTACACAATATGACTTATGACTTAAGGCATATAGCTCATGTCTTAAGGATTAAACCCTTATGACATTGGGCTTATGACTCATGGATTATGCCTTATGGCTTAGCGCTTATAAATTAGGTCTTAGGGATTATGCCTTATGGCTTAGGGCTTAGGTCTTATAGGATATCAATTGGGGTATAAGACTTATGGCTTATGGTTTATGGATTATGTCTGTGGCATATATATATATATATATATATATATACACACATATAAATACATATCACATATATACATACACATCACATATATATATATATATATATATACACATACATACATATCACATATATATACATACACATCACATACATATACTCATATACATATACATATTCACACATCACATACATCTACACATACACATATCCATATATGTATACATACAAAAATTTATAAAAAAGTAACTATATATAAGATTTAAATTTCATGATGGCAATAAAAACATATTTATTATTTTTTTTAAAAAGAAAAATATTAATGAAAATAAATACAAATTTATATACATATTTTTAGAAATCTTAAAATTTCATTTTTAGTTTATTCCCTCTTATTCGATTCAAAAAATTTCAGTTCCCCCGTACCCTAAAAAATTTAGATCGAGTTTCCCGGCCCAAATTGCATTTAAACCTAATACCGATTTGTTCCATCCCATCACATATTCAATCTTCCTGGATGAATCGTCTACATCACACCGACCCATCTTCGTCCTATAAACTCATCGATCATAAATTAAGCTATCGGAAAACACCACAAGCAACCCACATGCCAGTCTCTCTCGCCTGATTTCCGCTATTTCATTGTGGTTAGCCGGAACAGCACCAACCATCCTTTTAATGTCGTTTTCCCTATTTTTCTTCTACTCTCCCCATTCTTCCATGTTCCACCATCATTCCTCTTAATCACCTTCTATCATGAGTCCCATCTTCTCAATGATGCCCTACAGAAATCTAATTCAACACCGAGATCTTCAAACCCTAGCATCTCGTTCATGTCCTTCGGCGTTGGGACCTGTCCAACACTCACAACCCTGTAAGTAAATTAATAACTAAAAACATATATTTGATTCTTGGTTTTTCTGTTTGTAAATGGGGAAAATGACTGATGAGTTTAACTGCTTTTCCCTTGTCGACTTTGTTGTCATGTTTTGCCCTTGGTTGTCTTCTCTCTCTATCTTCTCTTATTGATATAACTCTCTAAAACATTTTACATCTTGATATGAATGATGGTTTAGAAACAGATCACATACCTACAGTGATAAAGATCTGAAGTTGTATAATAGCTCATTACCATATTGTGTTGAAGAGAATTAGTGAGAATTTGGAATCGTATCAGAAATTGGTACCCATATGTGCTCCAATTAGATTTATAAGCCATGGATTTATCACAAAGTTTTAATCGATAATACACCTTGATATTATAGGTTGCAAGAAATTTGAGTTTTCTGAGAGAATATGGATAATATGAATCTTTTTTGGAAGAATAATTCATGGTCTGTATATTATTATGTTACAAGTATTTATGTAGAACTAGATGTTTACTTGTCTATAATTCATTTTCATGCAATTTCTTGATCATTTCTATAGTTTCACATACATAGGAGGCCAGGTAAGACTTATGCAATAGTCTTGAAAGAGAATGAGGAGGAAGTCATTGTAGAAGAAACATTTCAACCCAAAACTTCTCCGGATGAAGAGAATAGAAGTCCAAGTGAGCCCCTAAATGATGAAATGGAAGAATTGAGAGCTCTTGTCTCTAAAGAAAAAGAGAAAAATGAAGAGCTTAAAGAAATAATGAAGGCCGAATAAGACCAATACAACACACGAGTCGAGAAACTTGATAAACAACTTAAATTGACAATGGATCTTGTTAATGTTATTAGAGAACAACAAAACTAGTAGTTCAAAAAGGGTTGATATGTCTATTGCAAAGTATTTATTTTAGAGTAGCCACTTTCCATTTTTCATGTAATAAATATTCATTGTATTATTTTATATGATATAATGTTATTTTATTTTTTTGTTAATTTTGTTTTTCATATATTACTACAAAATAATTTGAATTTAATTTATAAATCAATTATCCATCCGTGCCCATGGAATCTTTGCTATTTAATATGCTATATAATGTACACCACAAGAATGCTAGAGATTCGTCATCACAGAATTTGCTAGGGAATCACCACTACGGAATTTGCTAGGGATTCGTCACCACGGAATTTGCTAGGGAATCACCACTACGGAATTTGCTAGGGGTTCACCACCACGGAATTTTCTAGGGATTCATCACCATGAAATTTGCTAGGGATTTCTCACCACAGATTTTAATAGGGATTAACTACAACGGAATTTGTGATGGAAGAACTACCACAGAATTTGTGATGGAATCCTACTACGGAATACATGACGAAATACTATTCACAACGGATTTTATTCCGTTGTCACATTTGCGACAAAATAATTTTTTCCCTAGCAAACCCTCGCTACGGGGTTTTTTGGGACGGAAACCGGTCGTCACAAATTCCGTTGCTATTCGTCTTTTGCAACGGAATTTCAGCTTTTTGCAACAGATTCCTTCCCTAGCAAAATCGCGTTTTTCTTGTAGTGTCGCTCTCGGCGGCCTATAGATTCAGCCTCAACGTGAGGCTCTTCGTCGTTGTCGGCTGAAGAAGGAGAAGGAGAAGGGTGGCGGCTTCTTATGGTCGATGTCGTCGGCGGAACAGCAGCGGCGGTGGCGCCCTCGGCCGGGGGTAGCGGCGGCGGCAACCCGTCTTCAACAGAAATGGCGTAATGGCGGAGGAGATGCGGATCCGGCAGCACCCCAAGAGTCGCCTGTTGTCCGTCGTTGGTCCCGAGTCCTGGAAGCTCCTCCCTAACGGCGCTTGACGATGGGCGCTCCAGTGTTCTCCGGCGGCGACAAGGGTGGTGGCTGGAAGGTCTTGCATGAAAAGGTGGCGGCTGGAGAATCACTACTAGGGTTAGGGTTTGGTGGTGTGACGAGGGAAAGCGGGACATGATTTAAACCCCTAAATCCATACTAAACTTCCGCCCTTTTAACACAATCGACCCTTTCTTCTCTTTTTCCTTTCATATTAAGTCCCAAAATTACCATGCAACCCCTGTTTGACAAATTCTTTTCAATTTAAGTCTGATATTTACTCTTTAACCCCTGCTTCCATAAATTCTTTTATATTAAGTCCAAATGATACCAAATAGCCCCTCCTCTACAAAACCTTTTCAAAATAAGTCCTGAAATTACACTTTAACCCCCGAAACTAACATCCCGCTAATTATTATTTGATCTTGGGTTATAATAATATAAAATAATAATAAAAATTACTTATCGGGGTTCCGGGTTTATTATTTAACTATTCTATTTTAAACGGGATGTTACAACTCTCCCCCACTTAAATTTGATTTCGTCCTCGAAATCGTTTCTCATCATTCATTCCACGCCAGACAACTTGGACTACATGGCCACAGTCCCGAGCATAACCCCAGCCTTCCCAAGGCAATCAAAACTAACCCTAACAGGGGTTTTAAAACCAGAAAATGGACGAATTCCCTGTATTATGAGCACATTACACAATCTAAAATCTGTAGTCTTGAGATGGTCTGGCTCCCTGACAGACCACTCATACCAAATCATTATTGTTGAACCCAGTCCACTTAACTCTCAACCAACTATCCAACTTCTGATAACATGAGGTTCCTACTAGAAGACAGAGTCACAGACCAAATTTCCCTGCAGTACACTTATACTTGACAGAAAACTCATTCGGAATACCGGATTCTTGCCCGGTTGCTGAACCAACAAGCGATCTTACAGTCGCTCCACGTGATTCCTGAAGGAAACTCGACTAGCAATAATTGCCCTAGCTATATCGCCACTCATGGCTCCATCAATCCTTCCGGTCCATCCGACCATAATGACCTGACAATCTGTCGTCATCGAACCAAATATGAAAAGTGAACGGTACCAGAATATTGTAGTCTTACATCATGTCCGGTCTCCAATGACCTACCGTTTCCTGATTTTGATTATGTTGTGGTCTACCCAAAATCTCGTGAATTGGCCCACCCTGACCTAATCGTCTGAAACAATTCGTGAATGTTACGGGTCCTCCCGCAGTCTCACAACACTTCCCTCACTATCTGAACTCTAGGTCTAACGGATTACATACAAAGTCTTCAGCATGACTGGACCGCCTCACCGGGCCTTCAGTCTATCTGGACCACTCTCAGAACCTTCAGCATGTCTGGACCGCCTCTCCGGGCCTTCAGCATGTCTGGACCGTTCTCCGAGCCTTAAGCCTGACTGGTACGCCCCGATGGCCTTCAGTCTATCCGGACGGCTCTAAGTCTGTTGTGCATAAACCTGGACCCATCCTGGTGCCCTTTCCTATATAGCCAGTTCTCCCCCACTTGGGGTTTCGAACTCTTGATCCAATCCGTGAACTATAATATCGGCCTAACTCTAGACCTCATGTTGATCACCCACCCTCTCCGGAAACCGTGGTCTGATCTCTGACCCGCATATCTACCACATACGCTAAATAAGCCGCACACCCGTGCTGAATGTACTACCGAGCCCTGACAGCTAACAACAGCCTCAATCTATCAATCCAAGAACCCTCAGAGTCAAACATACACTCGACCGAACACCCGAACTGAATTCAATTCATAACTAGAACCCCAAACTGGTTCCCCAAATTCTGCTACCAAGCACCAAGAAGACGTGTTTCTCACGCTGGGGAGTTTTACCGAACCCCCAACTAACACTACCCTCAAACCCAACAGCCACTTGGGCCTCCTTTCTCCCTGTCGGGATGTGAAACTTATCCCCGTTTCAAAACCCCTCCCGCTTCTGCATCCCGAGGTAACTCTCCCCCACTTAGATTCGACTAAGCCTTCACAATACATGAAAATTGGAGGATTCCCAATCCTTCTCACTTTCCAACGATCGATCCAATTACAACCAACTCATTCTAACTAGTGCTCCATTACTAGCCAATCCCAAATGATCACACACTTCTAAGAACTAGATGAACACTTCCTGAATCCTAGTGAAACTCTGAATCCCAGTGAAACGGACAGTCTCTAATACTTGAATGATCCAACACTCAAGTCTTGAAGACCTAAAGGTAGGTGCTCCAACTAATATCCCAGCAACGAGCTACTTCCCTTGGCGCTGTCATCCGCCAATCAATAACGGTTACTAAAACCACTGAATTCTGACAATGATGAATAACCATCCTGTGGGACCCTGTCCACAGACCTCCCACATAATACCCTTCTTCCCAAGGTGCTCCAAACAAATATCCCGTTCTCGGGCTCTAGAAATTATATCATTCAGGGTCTCGCACCCTGACTCACTCACCAGCTCAATCGTCCACAGCTGAACTGCAGTAGCTGAAGCAACCTATGCCCTAAACCGGGCTACAAACTACTCCCAAGACATAATCTACAATCCCAAAAGTGCAATAGGTCGCACAATCAATCCTTACCGCCCGATACAAGAGATCCAAGGCGAATCAGATCTTAACTCCTATAGGTCGGGACGGTAATCGCGTACGCCTCACAAGATACTCATGCCGTATCAACCCACCTGCGCTCACCAGCGCTGAAATGATGTCGCCACCCCCGGCGACTAACTGACCTCGAACTAGAATACAACCTGATCCTGGGATCACAAGCTTGCTTACTCCTTCGAGCTTGAAAAACTGAAAGGGAACAATCCTAGCCCTAGAAAACGACATTTCAATCCATCAATTAACCATTCTACTTCCAGTTGCAAAACTTCAGCTAATCATAATCATCACTCCCTTCCGGAGTCCCCGCGACTCGAACCCCGGCCTCGAACCAAACCCCCAAAGTCTCAAATCCAGAAACTCCTATGCCAGCCTCTCCCACTCAACCCGCAGAATGTAACGAGTACAGAACATCTCCCTGATCCTAAGAAACCGCATCCCTCTACTCATCAGAAAATGTCCTAATAACATGTCCCGGTACTGGAAAGCTCGACCAGCTCCTCCCCCTGCCGACGTTATAGTTGTTGAAGCTGTTGCAGAAGCGGTCTCAGCAATGGCCGCATAGCGCTCGTCGAAATACTCAACCATGGCGGTCTTGTTAGACCTAAACATCTCCGGAATCTGACCCCGGACAATCTCAATCACCTCCTCCCGGATGATCTCCCTGACACGATCCTCTGATAATACTGGCCTATCCTGGCTGCCAGCTCCCGATCCTAACCCAGATCCGGTCTCAAGACGTCTGGTAACCACCATTCTTTTAATACTCTGGAAAGATCTCTGATAACCCATATAATATCAGGGAACCAACTACCAACTAAACCCTAGGGGTTGTGACTTCCTTGGTACACGTATGGGTCATGTGCTTTCAGTAGTACGGGCCCAAACTACCTTCCACACCTACCCATATTTGTCTCAAGTATCACCACAACACCCTAACAATATACATAAACATAGCGAGCTCTCAACCCTCACTCCTAGAGGAATGCTAAATATCTCATACTGGCCTACCGGCCTCACACAACCCACCCATGAAACTTCCACCAACCCTACAACACTCGTGTATGCTAACCATACATAACGCTGGACCCTATAGACTTTCAAATACCTGATCCTACCCTAAGACCTTCATCAAACAATAACAGGAAATAAGGCCAAACCAAACATTCTCAGGGTATAAGATCTTAATTATGTACAGCCGTGATGCATACACTAAGCAACTACAGTAATGATGTCAGTTTCATATAAGGAAACCCCTAGTACTAGCATGCTGTTCTAACATATCACAAAACCAAATAATCCGTAAGGTATTTTGGGGTCTATCCGTCAGCTCCGACTGATCGTACACTTGCGTCCTTCTTTTATTATTTTGAAAACATTTTAAGAAAATCGTTTTAAAACCTTGTCCTCAGTTTGAGACTAGAGACACACGAGTGTTTCCTCCAATTCACTCAAACCAAGGCTCTGATACCAACTTGTAACACCCATAAAATTCAAGCCAATTTAAAACTTTTCAAAACATTTAAAACCATTAAGTTATTACAGTTTACTTTCAAAATAATTTAAACATCAGAGTATCCCCAGAATCAATCATGAAAATATAAGGAGGTGCACGATCACGCCTTCGCCTTCCCGCGATCATCAGAAGTACCTGAAACAATAATCGATAAATGTAAGCTCGAAGGCTTAGTGAGTTACCCTCAAAATACCAACGCCATACATATATAACCATATCATATAAACATATAAGCAAACAACATGCATAATGAGCCATCAGTCTGACTGGACCGTCTCGCAGGCCTTCAGTCTATCTGGACCGCTCTCCGAGCCTTCGACACGTCTGGACCGCCTCGCAGGGCCTACAACCTATCCGGACCGCTCGTCGGGCCTTCGGTCTGACCAATATGCCCTCCTGGGCCTGCGGTCTATCCGGACCGCCCTGGGTATCTTGGCCTACAACACGAAGCAGGACCTGCCTCAACCCATTCCCAATCCCAACAAACATGTGCACATAACATCATACGCTAGCATACAATAACAGATAGTCATACAGATCTAACAGATCACTAACGTGGCAACCATCCTGAGAGAACCTCTCTCTAAAATTACATCATATTACTCCAAAACATGCTACATGCATATTTATAAACAATATTTTACATTGATAGTTTAATTACAAAAGACTGGATACAAACCGACTAAGTTTTAGTATATTACATAACTACCCAGGAAATTATAATTTTATACATACACGATCACTAAAAAAAACAAAAGTGATATTATTAACTATTCTAAATCTTCCAACAATATATGTCTATATTGGATTCTTATTACCTGCAATAATTAAACACTGAGAGAGATAAGCAGTGACGCTTAGTGAGTTCAAAATTAGATACAATATAACGTTATGCCATATATATATCAGTATGACAGAAGCAAAGAGGAACAAAGAACAACAAAGGCAGATGAGTATCATATGTCATG